GCGCGAGGGCGCTAACGAAGGGGCGCGCGAGGGCGCTAACGAGGGGCGCGCGAGGGCGCTAACGAGGGCGCTACGAGGCTAGGGCACGGGGTAGCGTGGTAACCGCATGCGAGCGGTGGTGGGCCCTTAAAAAAAAAAAACGGTCGGTAGGTCCTAGGGACCTCCTGCTCTGAATACCATGTCAGAAGAACTAGGCAAGAATGATGCATTGAATGAAACAGTTGGGTACAAGTAGCAAACCCTAGTTGGGGTTGTACCCCATATTGGCTACCCCACTACAGCCTACAAGCATAATGCAGTTTAACATGGTGTGCCTTCGTCACTTCCCTTGCTTACGTGTACATCTTATGCTCGACTTGGCAGATTTGGCTGTTGTTTCTGTGGTTGCGAAATCAACGAATTTTGTTTCCCCGTTTTGATTTCCCTCGCTGAGGGTCTTATACTTTCGTATGTTTCGTGATCCCCGTTCACCAAGCGAAGCTGATGAAGTTGGTGCACAACACATTGACAAATCGCAATCAAACGCGCTCAACCACGGATCCAACCGGACAACCCGATCGTTTTTACGGCTAACAGCCTCGCGTCACTGGGATGTTGCTACAGCGTGACTTTTTTGGCCCAGATGTGTCCTACGTAATTGTGACATTCCCGTCACATTTTCTCTGGGATGTGTTGTGTGCTTTCGGGGACTTTCTGTGTGCTTTTTCGTAGAAAAACCTACGGGGGCCAAAATTTTGCGCCTGACATTTCCGCGATACTACCCCGCGAGAAAACGCCGTCGCGACAGCGCGAGAGTGCCTCGTTTCCGTGCGCCTCGCCTTCGCCGCGTCACTCAGCTCAGAGAGAGCTCAATGAGGAGAACGGCCCATCATTGCGCTTCTTGCGCTCCTTGCGCCATTTGCGCCCTTTGCGCCCCTTGCGCCCCTTGCGCGTGCCCCTTGCGCCCCTCCGATCGATCCCCTCCCCTCTGACCCATCGGCGGCATGATCACTTTCTAGATAAATACGCTCGCAGTGAATGCAATTTCTATATCGCCACCCAGTTCGCTTTGGAATACGCCTTCCTAGTAGTACTAGAACCAGCCACTTCCCCTAGCAGCATCACGACTTCCTTTCTCAAAAGTATCTCTTTCGTCTCGACGGTCGACTTTGATTCAACGGTCTGATTTGAATCGGATTCACCTGATTTCAATCATCATGGCGAACACGCATCGCACGCCGTCGCCCAGCGCGACGGGGCTTTCGAGGAAGTCCTTCGAGTGGCATCGCAGCGGCGGGAATAACGGCGATAATGGCGGCGCTAATGGCGCCTCGACGAATGTCGTCATGAGCTCCAGCCCCGCCGCCACCCTCGACTTCGCCTCCTCCCCCTCCGCCATCCCTCCCGCCTTCCCTTCCGCCTTTGTAACATTCGTACCCGATACCCCCACCTGGTCTCGATTCGTCGAACCTGCAGAGGGGGGAAACAAGGGAGAAATAGGATTGGTTGGAGTTTGATTGGAAGCGAGAAAATTGGATTTGCCTTGATTGGAAAACTAGCCAATCAGAACTCTGCTGTACAGTTGTGACAGGAACTTACGCGACAGGTTTGAAAACAACCCACGTAAGTTCCAACATCACCCTAGCCCAACCAATCAAAGCATACTCACACAAAGTGAGTCGACGGAACTTCCGCCGCTGGTTGGAAATAGAACCAATCAGAAACAGCCAACCAAAATCCAACTCGACTCTTCCTTGAATTACAGCCAATGCAACAACTCAGGTTTGTGATAAGTGTGCATTTGTTATCCTTGCTGTTTGTTATCTAATTGGTTGGCAACTCCAACCATTGCCACATGGGCAAGGCCCAAGGGAGTGCACCCCTCCTTGCCATGGGGAAGGTGGCTGCACCCCAAGGGGGTCTAGGGAAGGGGTCTGAAGCCTCTTGGCTCATTCTCCATTTCCTACTCCCAACTAATCAATTGGGAAATAGGATTGTCTTCTCCTCAACTCACCTTGCCTCCAAGATTTGTTACTGCATTTCCCAGCAACTCTCAGACTTAGACATTTCCAGGAGCTGCTACTCTCTGGTTGTGTTAGAACTTATTATTTGGGTAAATGCCCTTTTTATTATCATATCCGTTACATTGGTAATCAGAGCTATTAGTAGATCCTCGCCTTGTGGGCATATAAGAGGATTTTGTGAATTTCTTTTTTCTTGGAGAAGTTCTGATTTGTATTGTAATTTCTATTATAAGTTTTTGAAGACTACAAGCTCAAGCTCAAGTTTTCAAGACTTTGAAGCTTCTCCAAGAGTTCTCAGCCCTCCCTCCCTCCCTGCTGGTGGAACCATTGGAGCTACTGTGAAGGAGTTGCAACCTGTGTGAATCAACATTCTCTGTTGAAGACAATCACTTTGTGATTGTTCTTGCCTTATCCACTGCGGTGGTAAGGATATTTTGCAACAGAGGTGTTTTTCACATTGCTGTGGTTGTAAGATCTATTGAAGAAATTTCTCCTTTGGAGAAAATCTTGGTTATTCACTGCGGTGATAACAATTTGCAGTAGATCTGTAACTCATTTTTATAATACAGTGACTTTGCTCTAAATGGCTTCTACCAACTCCAATGCTGGTGGTGTTGAAGGCAACAACTCCCAGGCTGAACTGGAAGCTTGTGTGCAGAAGATTGACCTGAACAACTTGGATGAGGAAATGGCTGAAAAGGAACCTGCTGAAAACTCCCCTGCTCGGGACCCTACAGCTGCTGAAAATTTCAAGGAGCAGGGGGGTTTAAAAATTCGCTCAATCTCGTATAGGTGTGTATCCACATTCGCATGACACGGGGAGTGGGTGTGGTCAGTGGCAAAACTGCCACGCTGGACCCAAATATCTGCACTTTTGGGCCTCTTGAGCCTACTTCGCTTGAGCTAACTTGCTGTGAACGCCATCTCAGAACTCCAACGTGACGTTTCTGTGACTTCACTTTTTGGCACTTCTGTCCATGACTTTTCCGTGACGCAAAAATGTTACGCAAAAGTCACGGAAAAGTCACATTTCTGTGACTTTCCTCGCTTAGCATTTCCGTAGGGTGACCCTACGCGTGTAGTAAGTGAAATGCGAGGAGGTTATTCGAGAAACGCAACTCCCCTGCAATGCTGCTCGCAAATTGTGATTGCGCCCACCGCGATGCCGCTGTACTGCAGAGGCTCGTTGGAAGGAAGGAATGTAGTGAGAGGAGTGCGCTGGTTGGGATACTGTACGTAGGCTGGGGACTGCTGTAGGCCATTTTGTTAGCGAGTGAGAAGAAGGGGGAAATGTTCGTATCTTGTATAACGGTTCTACACGGTTCGGAAATAGAAAACGAGGTTCCGCTGTGTCCAGTGTGGTATGGAAAGGCCCTTCCCAACCAGCACCTCATGCTTGATCGCAAAGGAACAGGAACGAAGGGGAACGGGCTCGGCAGGGCCAAGGAGAGGGAGTGTTTACTGATTCCAAAAAGACTGGTACCGTGCGAACAGTACCAAATGTGTTTGGGGAAATCAACTCAAATTTTGCTTATCCAGGGGTCAACAACTTTTGCTTCGCTAAGTGTCAACTCAACTCAACAGGGACGTCTGTTTCCCATTGGAGGGCACACGAGTACGACACCTGACCTCGTTGTTGACACTACCGAAGCAAATTGCCATGCGCACTCGCCCCTCATAGGAACTTGCGATGTATATTTCTGAAGGCATGGAAGCTACCATCGAAACTCCTGAATGCAAATTGGGCGTTGAGTACGCGGTTCGGGAGAAGCGGATCATGGAGCATCTTGCAATCAACGCTGACGTGCCCATCACCAGTTCGGCAAAACCAAAGTGCCGATTCCTTTTCCAATAACTGTGGACATCAGCGGGCAGCACGAGCACAGAATTGTCCTTTGAAAAGATGCGGAGTCAGCCTCTTTAAAAAAAGGCCAGCGTGTCGAAACCTCAGTGGGTGGACTTCCAGGATTAAGGTTATATATTGATCGTAATCAAAGAACAAGGGGCAATACCATAGAGCTATATAGAAACATGGCCGAGATGGCCAGCATCCTCAAAGGAGCACGTGGAACACACGTTATTTCTTTGTCCTACGGACAACCGCCAGAAGCCTGGGAAGACGCTCTATGCGAGAGCAATCTACGGTGGGCGGAACGGGTTCCCCAAAAGCCACGAGAATCTAAGGTCAGGGTGAATGGAAGGCGTGCCGGTCCTGTCAAAGAGGAGGAAACGGAGTTTTTGCGCTCTCAAGATGCTGGAGGATATGCGTTGACGTTTCTTCGCGGATTGTCGTCTGCCTCTCCACATAAAAATTTTGAAGGCGATGAGGAATTGGGCTAATACCAGCTGCAGTGTCTCGAAGCTCGAGGAGGAGGAGTTGCGGTACTTGTGGTCGCAGCGATTGTTCCAAAGTGTTTTAACGGCGGCTCCCACTAGAAGGGTCCATGGGGGGGATTGTCCCACCTGTGACTGTATCGGGAAGAAGATGTGTTCGGCGGGGGTAGTTTGTCTGAGGTGGCGGTCAGCGACAGTGCGGAGGGCCGAGATGACGTTTCTGGCGGAGGAGCACTCAAAGAAGATGTGCGGCAGTGTCTCGACAACGCCAGCTGGGCACCGGGGGCACACCCCTCGGTCGTCAAAGTATTGGAAGCGTGATCCAGAGGGAAGGGTGAGCGTGTAGAGTCTGAAAAGGATGTCCCGTTGGCGGCTCGGCTGGTCTTTGAGAAATGAGTCCTTAAGGCCAGGGAGGGGAGGAGGAGGAAGGGTGAGATCGCGGGTCCATCGGCTGTGGTGAGTAAGCGGTTGCGGTGAGTAGAGGAGATGTCGGATGTCGGCGAGGCTGGGGACGCCGTCCTGTAGAAGTTCTATCCTAGCTCCTAACCCTGCCCCTGTGTGAAGTGGCCCTGCGAGCCACGAGTCCCTGACGTGCACCTCTATGAGGTCCTAAAGACGGAAGAGTCCGGTAGATGCCGGGGGGCGGGTGATGCGGTGGTTTGGCTATACGAGGTGGACGGTAGCCGAGACGGAGGAGGGGGGAATGTATGCGACGACTTGGACGACTAGGTGCGAGATGGAATAGTGGTCGTTGGAAAGCATGAACCAGTCACCTGGGGAGGCAGAGGAGGCGTGTGGGGTTCGGAGGGCAGCCCACCAGGGACGTTTGATAGCTTTGATGAGAACAGGGAGGATGCTGGTTGCGTCATCGTGGAATTCCTCTGGGAGTTGGGAGCAAAACTCTTGTGTTGAGATGGGGTTCACGCCAAGGTTGGTGACTCGGACAATGTGTCCGACGCGGAGCTGCCTTATAAGCAGGAAGCGCTCGTGTTGGCGGGTGCCGAAAGGCCGATTGTCAGGTTTGAGGAGCGAGCGGTTGATGGCGAGAGGTTCGGTGAGGATGCACTGCATGCGTAGGGGGGGGGCATGGATTACCAGGGGAACGAAGAGGATAGCTTTTAGTTCGTCCAGCGCCCGGGGGGGGATGAAGGTGGGGAGATAGCCTCGTTCGAGGATGGCTTTATGGGAGAGCAGACCGTGTAGCCCATAGGGGAACGGGGTCAGGGTACGCGCAACTTCTTCGGACGGTGTGGGTCCAAATCTGCGCAATGCACGCTGGATAGCGAGGGCTTTGACCTGTGTAGAAGGGGCGATCGCTCCAACCCCGCCATCTCGGGGAGAGTTGTATAGGAGGCCATTGGGGAGGAATCGTTGTGCGAGGCCGTCCTGTTTATGTTTGGAGGACGAGAGGAAATTCCCGACTGATATGTCTAGGCGTTTGATGGTGTCCGGTGGAGCTGGTTGGAAGCGTCCAGGATAGGAGATGACAGAGTTCAAAAAGATAGAGGAGAGAGATTTGCGGCACGTGACCGTGGCATGCAAGACCGCCAGGAATTTGGCAGTGTTTTGTATGCGAGCAAGGGCCATAGTCCAGGTAGTGGATCCGGGGTGTAATCGCTCTACATAAATTCCGAGAATGCGTTCTGCTTCATCGGGGGCACGAACGGGAATAGGCCCGGTGTGCACAAGGTCAGTGGGGGGGATGTTGATAGGAATAATGGAGCATTTGTTCCAGTTGGGGACCTCCCCAGACACGGATCCAAAAACGCCTAGGAGCAACACTGCGAGGCCGAGCTCTGTGTCAGAGTTGAGGAAGAGAGTTACATCGTCCGCGTAGCATGCCATTAGTCGGCGTTGGGCTGGGGACAGGGCGAAGCCGGGGAGGAAGAGGGTCATATAGCGGTGGAAGATCTCGATGACGCAAACGAAAAGTAAAGGCGCCAAAGGGCAGCCCTGTCGGACTCCCGTACGAACGGGGAAGGTGGGGCCGAGCATGTTGTTGACCGAGATTCGTGTGCTCGTGTCGGAGTGCGTTAGTCGTACCCAATGGATGAAGGATGCAGGGAGACCGAGGACCGCTAAGGCTTGGAGGAGGAAAGGTCGGTCGACGAGGTCATAGGCCTTCCGAAAGTCCACCGTAAGAGCGAGAAGAGGGGCCGAGGAGAAGGCCGCCCAATCCATAATGTCAAGGGTATCGTTGATTGTATCTCCGATTTTCCTGTTTTTGATGAAGGCGGTTTGTGATGGGTGGATGACCTGGGGGAGAACGAGTTGAAGGCGGTTAGCCAGACATAGAGCGAGGACTTTGTAATCGGCGTTCATGCAGGTGATGGGGCGGAGATTCTCTACCAGCGAGGAATCACCCCTTTTTGGAATAAGGACAGTACGTCCGGTCAGCATGGACGGAGGTAGGCGAGAGAGTGGCTGTAGTGGGGAGAGCAGGGAGTGGAAGGCCGGTGCAAATCGCGGGGAAAATTGCCGAAAGAGTTCCCCGGGAAGGCCGTCTGGGCCGGGGGTTTTCCCTCGGGACAGAGATAGTAGCGCTTTTCCAATTTCAACTAGGGAAAGGGGGGCGCTGAGTCGTAGGAGTTAGGGGTTCGGGATGTAGGAGGGGGGGATGTGTTGCCAGAAGGAATTGCTTAGGGTGATGGGGTTGTTTCCGCTGTAGAGTGTCTGGAAGAAGTTAGAGCACATGTTGGTCATGGTGGGGAGTTCCGACGTCGTCTGTCCGTTAGGTAGGGTCAGCGAACTGATGATCGAGCCTTTGAGCCTTTGATTCGAGCCAGAGAGAAGAGAGGAAACTCCCATTTCTTTGTGCCCTTCCACTTTGAGCTTGGCCTTGAGCGCAATCTCAGAGGCTTTCGCGGCTTCATACTTGGCCAGATGGAGTCTTGCTTGGTCAAGGCGGTTGGACTCGGCCTGAGTCAGGGGCGTGTACGCTGCATGTCGCTGTAGGGAGCCAATGGTCTGTTCCAGATGTGCGATCGTGCCATCGACGCGGCGTCTCTCCTGGTTGGAAAAGCGTTTGAGGTTGAGGGTGAGGTCGAGCTTCCATCTGTCCCAGGAGTCCGGGGAAGGGGTGGATGGGAAGACTGCGAGGGCGGATTCGATGATTTGTGAGACATGGGGGCGCATGAGTAGATGCTGTCGGAGTCGCCATGGTCGAGGGGCAACTGTGGGGTTGAAGAAGCTGAGCGAGCAGAGGGGGGCATAGAGGTGATCCGTGATTGCCGTGCGGGTTTGGATGTACGGACTTGCCGCAAGACGGGATACGAAGGCCCGAGAGATGTATATCCTGTCGAGTCAGGAGGAGGTGGGCGGCGTTGCAGTGTTGTGACGCTGCCTCCCGTAGAAGGAGAAGACGTCTGTCGACGTGGGGTAGAGTTCACGAAAGGTGTCGACCAGTGCGTGGTTATCCATGAGTTTGGCGAATGAGGCGCCCTCACGGACCTCGAAGTCTTTGGGAGGGCGATTTCTGTCGATGGGAAGGACTACCGAATTGAAGTCTCCGACAAGCATGGATGCAGCGGCAGCGGTCGGGGCTTCAAGTGCCGGGACGAGTGTGGTGGTCCACCACATCCGGCGCTCGTAAAACTGTGTGGGGGCGTATATGGCGATAAGGCGAAATTGCTCACGGAGATAGTTGAGTTGGACAGTGATAAGTCTGCCATCTGCGGAGGGGAGTGGGGAGGACAACGAGATAGCCCTATTGAAAGATAAGATAGAGACACCACCGATGAGAGTGGGCCTCCCTGTGGTTCTGTCGGTAGAGAGTAGTGCTGGGGCGTGAGCGGAAGCATGCGGTCGAAATTTTAAGTCCATGTTGGGGATTCTGTCGATGAGCCGGGTGTCAATTAGGATGACGAGGTCAGTGGGAGCCGGGAGTCTTGCCAACCACGACCTTAGCTCATCCATCTTGCGTGTCCCGTTAATACCGTTCACGTTGATGCATAGGATGTGTATATGTGTTAACATGGCCAGGCTGTGGAGGCCACCGCACGGGAAAACGTGCGTATCCACGGCCTAAGTACGAGTTTTTGCTGATGAGTGCAAGTGGTGGAGGTGAGGCCGGAGGCGAGCCAGAGTTGGTGAAGTTTGTGGTGCCGAGGCGGCATTGTGATGCATGACTGCGTGATAGAAAGGTGTACCGGTGGGTCCTTGAGTTCGAAGAGGTGCCGAAACAGTGCGTGTTTGGAGTTTGGGGTACGTACAGTATGTAAGCGTGCTCGTTTTCTCCGATAGTTACCAGAGCTACATCGTAGCTGCAAGGCTGACTTGAGGTGCATTGAGGTTGTAAGGTGCAGAGAAGTGATTGAGTGGTGGACTATGGGAGCTTGTGAGTTGAAACGGTAGTAAAAAGTTGTACAATCCGCTTCCCTTGCAACGAAAAAGTGCAACAACGCGGTGCCAATCTTATGCTCTTTTGGTAGTTTGAAATGACGGTAGTGTCCAATATTGTACCCGTGATCTTGTTTCCAGCTAGAGTTTGGACAGGTGTTGCAGCAGAGTGTATAGACCGGGACAAGAGTTAATGCACAAGAACAAGTGAAGCATTTGAAACATCAAGACTTGTAGCGGTCTGATGCACAATATCGTGGGGCAAGCAGCCAAGGGGCAGCAAAAGCTGCTGGGGGTGCAGGCAGAGGAAGATAGTTCTCCGACAGCAGAGACAACGCTTGGAAACACGTATAGCTAAGGAATCTGCCAGACACACAGAGTGATAGAGGGGCCAGGGAGCACCACGAGAGAGGGGATAGAAGGGGGGGAAGGTAGAGCGGCAAGGTAGCATGGGTTTCTGAGGGGTTTTGGGAAGGCGCATCAAAGAACAGAAAGGGCAGAGTGTAGAGCAGCAGGAAACTAGGGCCGAGTGAGGGCCCAGGGAGGAACCAGAGGGGCATGAGGGGGGAAGGATGACCCCGGGTGGCGGAGGGGCGGTGTGAAAGTGGGGTGGAGCGGGGAAGGTAGGAGGTGAGGCAGCCACATTGAGCCACCACTTGGGGGGGAGGCCGGCGTAGAGGGGGGAATAGGGGCGGCGTCGTAGTAACCAGGGGCGCGGGTCTAAGAGGAGAAGAGGGGGGGAAGCATCTGGGGCAGTGGGTGGGAGGTACGTCCAAAGCAGAGGCGTGAAGCGACATAAAGCACAGGGCAGGGAGCCTAGAGAAGCAGGCAAGCAAGCATGCAGGCGTAGCAGGCGGGTCGGAGCCAGGGGCCGCAAGGCGCAGGAGGTGGGGGGAGGGGTCAAGCAGGCAGTTACCAGAGTCCATGCGGTTTAAAAGAGCTGACTCGGAGCCCGAGGGGCTTTTCGAATCACGAGGCCACGCGTAGGCAATGGCAGGAGCGAGGATGTGAGCGCAAAGGCGTTGGCCACAGCGATTCACGAGGTTTGACTGGAAGCCTAATTGGCAGCCCGAGTCAGGGGTAGACTGGGAGCCTAAGCGGCAGCCCAAGTCCGGAGACCATGCATAGATGCAAGGGTAGCGAGGCAAGGTGTAAATCGTCAAAGCGAGAGAGCGAGCGGCAACGCAACAGCACAGGGAAGGTAGCGGACCATGATGCTTACAGAAACGGTAAAAAGGAGAGCGACTTAGAGAAGCAGAGGGGTGTGCGGGAGCACTCACCTGAAGATATGCAAGGAGGTAACGCAAGCATGCTTGAGGTTGCCACCGCTTCCAGTAGTACAGAAAAGGCGATGGCGAGCTGTTGGCGGCGCGGTAGCACGGTGCGCGCAGACCCGGATAGCGCTGTTGGGAGGCGGCGCGAGGGCCCGAGTCCCGGCGTGAAGTATAGCAGGCATGTCGGCGGAGGAGGTGGGGTGTGCGCAAACGGGGGAAGAGCACCAATAGACAGAGCCAGCAGTAACGTTTTAAAATATGCCATGTGTACGTGGAAGCGAGAGGGGGGGGAGCGGCGAAAGACGACGCGTGTGCGATCTGCCGAGTTCCTGGCGGAGGCGGGGGGTTTTCCGTTGGCAGCGGCGCGGGAGCCGTAGGGTGCGGCCAGCAGTGCTGAGCTGTTCCTAGGCGGCAGCGTGGCGTTAGCGAGGCTCCTCGCGGCCATCGCGAGCGCGGGAGGTCGAGGCGAGGAGAGGCGAACGGTGTCTGCCGGGCCGTCGAGCGGGAGTAGCCATGAGAGCTAAAAAGGGGGAAGCGTCCTGCATGTCGGCGCATAGTTAGCACAGGAGATCGAGGTGAGCAAGGTGAGCAAGAGCGAAAGCAGGCCGAGGAGGGAAACCGACTTACCTAGCGCCGAGACGATGTCGATTGAAAGGAACCAGCCTAATCGGCCGCGGTTTGACAGTCGTCCGGTATAGCAGGAAGGTAAGCTGGGGCCGCTGTTGATCACGCTAGTTAAAAACCTAGGTGATAACCTAGGTTGCGACATAGTCGGGGTTGGTGCTTTAAACCCCAGTCGGGCATGCATCCGGTCAGGGAGCCTCAACCCTAAACGCCTGCAGGCATGGATTTTAGGGTTGAGGCTCCCTCGGATGGCATGCCGTCCGGATGGGGTTTAGTTTTTTTCTGCCCGGGGCAGCATGTCGTCAAGTCGTCAGAGGGTCGTCAGGCTTGACGACCCCTTTTGGCTGAGATTTTCCGACAAGTTCGTGAAACCAGAGAAGAATGCTGACATGGGCGACAGGGCCCCAGGGGTGGACTTCAAGGGATCTCGGGCACTCCATCCACCAAACACATAGCCAACACATAGCATGCCTCTCACATCGTGCTTTCCCTCTAATGAGTCGACGCAGAGTGTACCACACCCAGATTGTTAAAGGGGGATTTACTGTTCATTTCGAACAGTACTTTCCAACTCACCCTTATCCTTATCTTCCTAGATTTCCTAGTGCCACGTGGCACTCTACTTTTCTTGCACTACAATTCCTAGTCCCACAAACCACTTTCCCACAATTGCTCTTGCATGCTATATCAACCTTGCTTGTATCCACCAATATCAACCAATTCTCATTCAACTCTCTTTCAATTACTCAGTAACTTCTTCGCCTATTTCGCCAATAGTCTTTTCGCCAAAGCCTTCCGCCGCGCTTTATCCTCGACTTAGTCGACCCCGCTAATTCTTTAGCGGACTTAGGCCGTCGGGCCTAACACTTGGTATCAAGAGCCTTCGCGGGGAGCGACTTCCAACGAGCGGCCGTCGACAAGGAGACTACGACGTCATCGTCCCGCGGTGCCGACTTGCAGACTTGGAGTCGTCGAGCGAACATGGACGAAACCATGCACGCTCTCCCCCACGACATGGGCAACACGCTTGCCGAACTCATGCGCCAACTTCAAGAGTTGACGTTGGAAAATCGTCAGGTACGAGCTGAAATGCAACAGCTTCGTGAATTGGCTTCTAACCCCCATGGTCATGCCGCACCAACTCCTGCACCCACCACGTCGACTGGCGCGGAAGCGCTGCCGGAACGTCGAAGCGCGCTCAAGCCGCAGAAACCGGAGTCGTTCGACCCAAGTCAGCGCGACGCGAACGTGCGGACGTGGCTCTTCATGCTCAACAACTACTTCGCCGCGAGCGGGGTGCAAGAGGCGGACGCGCAGCAGCGGATCGAGTACGCGGTGACGCTGCTGAGGGGCCCGGCCTTGGAGTGGTGGCGCCAACTTACGCAGACTGCTGTACAAAAGGCTCAGACGGACGGGCATCAACAGGGCGTGGGGCATGCAGCTGCAACTTCGAGCTTAGGGAGTTTAGCTTTGGGTGTTACCACGGTTCCGACCACATGGGAAGGATTTGAAGCGGCGCTGAAAAGTAGGTTCGATTTGGTGAATGCCTCCGAAGCTGCTAGGAAGCGTCTGCGTCATTTCCGACAGATAGGAAACGTCCAGGAGTACACACGACGGTTCTTGAGCATCTGCAACGAGATAGACGACATCACGGAAGCAGAGATGCGCGATCGCTACCTCGAAGGGTTGAAGGCGGACATAGCGGAGGTTATAGCGATTCATGGGTTGTCCACCTTCGAGTCGGTAGTCGCAGCAGCAGAACGCGTCGACGCAGTACGAAGCCGACGGGGTCGTGACGATCGCGATAGGGGATACAACAGACCGATCAACGACGCTCGATCGAGGGACGGACCATCGCCCATGGAGATTGGTGCAGTTAACAGTGACGGTTCACAGCGGACGGGTTTTAGGGGGAACTGTTACTACTGCAAAAAGCCGGGTCACATGAAGCGGGACTGCCCACAGTTCAAGGAGCAGCAGCAGGGAAACGGAAACCGCCAGTAGATAGCGGGTCGCTAGCTGGTGTGGAGGTTCCCGTACCCGCCACGTCTACCAACGTAGAGGAGACGGCCTTGCAGCAGTCATCTACGGAGAACTCGGTAGACACTGTTGATCGACCAGTCGTGCTTCTAGGGAAGCTTCGCGGAGTTCCAGTCAAGGTTCTCGTAGATAGCGGAGCTAGCCACTCGTTCGTTTCGTCTTCATTAGTTAGTCGTCTCCATCTCGAAGCAGATTCCGCAGTCAACTTCAAGGACGCGCGCATGGTAGATGGGACGCCGCTTCACATAGGACCAGTCATTCGCAAGTTGCGCGTAGTGCTAGGACCGATCACGGTTAGACGTGACTTCGACTCTGCAACACTAGACGGCTACGTCTTCATCTTCGGTAGAGATTGGTTGCGGACGGTTTCGACTCAGTTCGATTGGGCTCAGGGAAGCTGCAGTGTCAAGGTAGACGGGGAGTTCCGGGAGCTGCCACAGTGGAGCGATGGGGCCACATCATCCACAGCTATCATTAATGCTGTTCGTGTGCGACAGTTAGTGAAGCGTGCGGCACGGATCTTCGCGGTTTTCCTTGAGGAGGTGG